GAACTTAATTTAATTCATATTAATCTGCCATCATCCACTAGCACTCATCTTTACTGTACAGGTCCATGCCAAGTATTATAGGGAATATGATGGAACCTGTTCCTCACTCCATCCTGTAGGTCTTTAAGAGTGGCATTTTCTTTATCATTGTTCCCATAATGCGGCAGTCTTCATTTAGTTTCTTAGGGGAGGGACAGTGGGCTGTTTTAAAGCTTCAACTTGGCTTTTCCTTTTATGACAGCTACTCCACAGCGGTGTGGCAGCGGTAGTGAGGTTGGCGCAGGATCAGACATTGTTTAGTTCTGCTGTGCATGGGGTCGCTATGAGTCAGTTCCGACTCGATGGCATCTGACAACAACAACAACAACAACTCCACAGCTCAAGTAACCAACAGTAGGGTTTTCTAGCTGGTGTATAGAGTCAACTTATACATTCATGAACAAGATTGCAGAACAAAGGGTGAGACTACTCATCACTGTAGGAGCCAGGATGGCATTTCTGGTCTCTAGCACAAATGTCACCTACCCAAACATTCAACTATTTTCAGAAGATAGCTCATCTCTTACCACAATCTAAGGGCTCTGGCAATGACTATAGACCTCTGTGAGATAGGCCTGTTGTTGAGTTGAGTCCTACTCATAGCCACCCTGTGTAGGGTTTCTGAGGAGTTAATGGTGGGTTTGAATCGCCGACCTTGTGGTTCAAAGCAACCTTGCAGTCCAGTGCATTATCCTGCAGTGTCTGAGATAGGTTTGAGGGTGATTGATTCTATATACTTGTGTGTCAGTGTCCTTCCTCAGGTGTGCCCAGTAGTCACTGGGTTCTGAGTCTGAGACTGGGCCAAGGCCATGATTTTCCACTGTAGCTTCAAGATCCCCACTCTGGATTGTTTCTGGCTATAGATGGGTTCTATGAAGAAAAACGTGGCATTAGGATTGGAGGAAGATTCAATAACAACCTGCGATATGCAGATGATACAACCTTGCTTGCTGAAAGTGAAGAGGACTTGAAACATTTACTGATGAAGATCAAAGAACACAGCCTTCGGTATGGGTTGCATATCAATGTCAGAAAAACAAAAATCCTCACCACTGGACCAATAAACAACATTCTTACCAATGGAGAAAAGATTGAAGTTATCAAGGACTTCATTCTTCTTGGATCAACTATCAACACTCACGGAAGCAGCAGTCAAGAGATCAGATGACGTATTGCATTGGGCAAATCTGCTGCACAGGAACTTTTTAAAGTGTTGAAGAACAGAGATGTCAGCTTGAGGACTAAGGTGTTCCTGACCCAAGCCATGGTATTTTCAATAACCTCATATGGATGCGAAAGTTAGACAGTGAATAAGTAAGACCACAGAAGAATTGATGCCTTTGAGTTGTGGTGTTGGAGGAGAATACTAAAAGTGCCATGGACTGCCTAAAGAACCAATTGATCTATTTTGGAAGAAGTGCAGCCAGAGTGCTCCTTCGAGGCCAAGATGGCTAAGCTTCGTCTCTCATATTTTGGACATATTGTCAGGAGAGAACAGTCTCTGGAGAAGGATGTCATGCTGGGTAAGATGGAGGGTCAGAGAAAAAGAGGAAGACCCCAAACGAGATGGATCAGCCAGGTGGCATCATTGATGGCGTCAAGTGTGGCAGCGGTGGTGGGGTTGGCCCAGGATCGGACATTGTTTCGTTCTGGTGTGCATGGGGTCGCTATGAGTCGGTTCTGACTCCATGGCACCTGACATAGATGTCAAATATTTTTGTCACTGTCTTCCTGCTTTTCATAAGCTGTTTTTTCTCTAGGTCATCAACCATCACCTCTGAGCTAAAGAGCTTGGCTATCAGTCTGACTTATTGCCCACTAGGCACATGTGGCTCCCCATGGTGAAGTGCATGCTAGGATCTTCTCATCCATGTTGATGCTGTGACTTTCATCATGATAGCACCATCCTGTCCATCAAGCCTGGCCATCTAAGTAATGGCAGAGCCTCCTTCTCCAGTGTGCTCTTATTGCCTTAGGAAGCAAGGGCCCTTTGGCCATTCAGAGGAATATGAGCAGGCTATAGGTCTTTAGAAAGTGAATGGCTTCTATATGCTACCCTCTCTGATTCTCCTGTCTCCGCCCCAGATCACTGCCCTTAACAGTTCCAATATCTCTATTGGATTTCCATTAAGCCAGGGGCCAGTTTGTTTGTAAAAGGTTTTGTTGTTGATGATGATGATAAATGCTGTTGAGACAGTTCAAAAGCATAGCGACCTGGTATAGGATTTCCAAGAAGTAGCTGATGGATTTGAACTGTTGACCTGTGGTTATCACTCCAATATTTATACTCACCAGGACTCTTCATAAACTTGTAAACCTGTTAGGGCTGGAGATCATAGGATCACTGTCACAGCTACTCACATTGTCGCAACAAAGTGGTGTTTTCATTCAATAATGAAACTAGATTTATTTTATAAAATGAGGTATTGTTTCATTCGAGTTTATAAGCCAAAGCAGAGAGAAACGAACATCCTATGAGAAGACTGGTGTCGCACTGCGGATTAATGCACTGAACTGGAAGGCTGGTTTGAACCACAAGTCGGCTGTTCAACCTCACCGGTCACTCCTCAGAAACCCTGTACAGCGTCGCTATGAGTTGGAACTAACTCAACAGTATATTAACAACAACAACATGAGAAGACTGGACATCTGTAACTTAGAATGTGAGTAAGACAAGAAGTATGTACTTTATGTGAACATACATTTAAAAAATATCAGCAGATTCTATGTTGACCCTCCCTCTAATATATCCTATTTGGTATACAGTTCAATTCCCCAAGTGTATTCTGGAGCCCTGGTATGGCTCTGTAGGATAAGCACTGGACCACAAGTTGTCTGAAATGCAAAGTCGGCAGGTAAACTCACCAACAGTCCCTCAGAAAGTTTATACAGGGTCACTATGAGTTAGAACAAACTTGACGGCACTTAAAAACAACAGCTATATTCTAAAATAGGATATATATCTTAGTCTTTGTTCATGCTTACTGGACAAGTCAAAAATCATGTCTTTGAAATGGCGAACCCATTCTGAGTGAAGCAACTCCTAAGACTAACAAGCATCCTGTAATCAAAGCATGTTGATCAAGTTATTTTAAACATGGTTTTGTGTTTATAACCCATGTTCATAGTTGTTGCTATTGTTAGGTGCCATTGAATTAATTCCAATTCATGGTGAGTCTGGTTTTTTGTTGTGCGCCAGTGAGTCCGTTCCAACTCGTAATGACTCTGTTGAGAGTTACTGTGAGCAGCTGCTGGGTTTGAACTGCTGACCTTGCAGTTATCAGTCCGGTGCATATCCTACAGTGCTGTACCAGAGTTCAGAGATCCCATTGTTGTTGTTGTTAAGTGCCATCAAGTCTATTCCGACCCATGTTGTTGTTGTTATGTGCCATGGAGTCGGTTCCAACTCATAGTGACCCTGTACAGGGTTTCCGAGGCTGGAAATCTTTACGGGAGCAGAAAGCCTCATCTTTCTCCTGCGGAACAGCTGGTAGTTTAGAACTGCTGACCTTGAGGTTCTCAGCACGATTCGTAACTGCTCTGCTACCCTGTATAGGGTTTCCAAGGAGCAGCTGGTGAGCTTGAACCACCGACCTTGCAGTTCAAACAATTTTTCAGTCTGATGCATTAGCCCACAGCACCACACCAGGACTCCTCAGAGATCCCATAGTATTACATAAATACTGTTCTGGTGTGGCGCTGTAGGAAAATCACTCAACTGCAAGATTGGTTTGAACCACAAGGTGAGTGGTTCAAACTTACCAGCCGCTCCCTGGAAACCCTACACAGGGTTGTTATGGGCTGGAACCAACTTGGTAGCATTTAACAACAACAACAAAATCATTTAAGCTAAGTGAACATTGTTGTTATGAGTCAGAACTGTCCCAACAGCACTTAACAGCAACATTAAAACACAAACAAAAGATTTTAAAATATTTATACTTTAAGCATAGTAAATAAATACATAAAGATCAGCATGCATTTCATGTTTAACCTCAATTTTTCTAATTTCACTGATTTTCTTATCATGAGACAATTCTCCTATTTAACAAACAATTTTGAGTAGCATTCTATATTTCCAAAATGTGGTCCACATCGAGCACACTTCTCAATTTTAAGAATGCAGTTCTATCATCGAATAATTGTAGACAACTCCAACTCCAACCAGTTGATTGGAATCTTTCACCGAAAGACTTGCAGAGACTTTGACATACGAGTGCTCTCTGGGACTCCCTGAAGGAAGCATCATCTCCCACTCCTGTTTGATCACAGAGCCCTCAGGAGCAACACAGTGATTCACTTTAGAAATCACTTTGGAAAATATGTTCTTTTAATAATAGATCTCATAAATTCACTTAATCAGGCTGAATTTAAATGTCCTTAGACCTTCATGAGGCTAATGTCATATTGAATAAATATAATCTGCATGATTTATAATTAATGATGAAATAAGAAAATTTTGAGAGATAGAATGATATGAGAATTTTCTCCGTAAAAAATCTAGTGGGGGATCATGGCATTCTATGTGAGGAAAGACTGACCATGAGTTGGTAACTGTTGGGTTGGGTGATGGGTACATGGGGGTTCAGTAATACTATTGTCACCGCTTTCATATAAGTTTGACACTGTCCCTAGTAAAAATGTGAAGAATAATAAACAGATCTTAGAAAGAAAAAAAAAAAAGAACAAAGGAGAGAAAGAGAAAGAAAAGGAGGGAAAAAGGAGGGAGGAACAGATAGGAAGGAAAGAAGAAATGAAAGCCAGACAGCAAATCACTGATGTTAACATTAAGGCTTAGATTAATTGCGCCATACACCATCACAAGATACACCTTTAATTTGCTAAGACATACTTTAATCTATTTTCTTCCTCATGCTAGCCTGTGTAATATTTACCTAGGCATACATATTTTCAGTGATAACAAAACCACGTCTTGCCCAAGGAAATCATATGCAATTCACCATTCATCCCGGTCAGCATCACAGTTGCAGAGATAGTGAGAATCAAGGCAGTTCCCCTCTAATCCACAAGTACATTTTTGAGCATCAGGCAAAGAACCTCCCCAATAAGTGTGTATCTCATTGGTTCTTCCAACCCACCAGCTCAGTGGGATTCCATCTGAAAGACAAGCAAGAGACAGGTAATATCGACTTTCCCACTGTCTCTAGGTATCCCTTCTCTCCCACATTATTACAGAGAAACCCAAAGAGAAAAGACACAGTCCCTGTTAGAAATAATCCTATTCTTAACATTGTATCAGCATAGTGTTTCATTAAGAATCCTAACTAAGCTGTTTGTTTATATTATTTTATTGTTGTTAAATGCTGCCAAGTCCATTCTGACTAATAGCGACCCCATGTAGAGTTTCCAAGGAGTGGCTGGTGAGTTTCAACCACCAACTTTATGGTTAGCAGTCCTGTGCTTATGACTTTTTAAATTATTGCTGTAAATTTGTAATTTTTAAGAAAATGAACAGTGATAACTCTTTTACTTGTGATATTAAAAACATTTTGAGAAGCAAAGCTATGAGCTTTCTTTAAGAATGACTTTTAAACAGTGAGTTGCCATTAAAATAACTTAAAAATAACTTAAAAACCTGCTGAAGCTAACATCAGTTTGGGATCGTGAAATGTCTGAAATAAAACAAACCCCAACAAAATCACTATATTGTATAAGGCCCTTGGCACTGCTGCCATTATTCACTGAGAAGCTCTGTTTGCCTGTCTAATGGCACCCATGTTGGACAACAGGTATAAGGACCCTTTAGAATTACGTTTTGCTTTGTGGGGGGAGGGGGCTGAAACGTTTGTGTGTGGAGTAATCTGTGGTGACCAACTGTCTTCCTGCTGGAATTGTGTTTGCAACCACAGGCCCCTGGGTCTCCCCATGACCTGAGGAGACCTCATCCTTCCTAGGGTTCCCTGTGACACTTAAACACTTAGAACCCTTCTGAATGCCAGCTACAGTCTTGCAAAGTAAGAGAGATAGATGATCCTAAGAACCAGTGCAAAGAACATACTGAACATTTGTTGTTGTTGTTGTGAAGTGCCGTAGAGTTGGTTCCGACCCATAGCGACCCTGTACATTAGGAGAAGACAATCCTAAAACAAAGTTGGGTTAAGTAATGGAAACACCACCAGTGGAGAGCGAAATCACCTCAAAGAAACAAGCGACACTTCTACACTGGTCCTCTCAGGGATCGGCAATTTCTGCATTTACTTTAAAGCCTGTAGCTTGTCACCATCAAGCCCCACAGAGAGTTGGGAGTTTGTGGTTACTGCTCTGTAGCGTTCTAGGTTCAGAACCTCTGCTACAGCTAAGACTCTCTGAGACTTTCAAACCAGCAGCATTCCTGACCACTGACTCTCAGCAGCTCTGGGAAGAGTGTGATGTGCATGGGTGCACCAAAGACACATTTTAAAACTCAACTGAAAGCTCACTCCTTCAAGGCCAAAGGTAGTTAAAATAATGAATAGATACCATTGATAACAGCAACTTAAAATTTCAATTATTTTACCACTATACTTTCAAATGGAGACTTGGTAGAGTAATGGGTTATGAGTTAGACTGCTAACCTCAAGGTCAGAAGTTTGAAATTACCAGCTGGTCCTTAGAAAAGAAGGTTGAGGCTTGCTCCTTCCATAAAGATTTACAGCCTCTGAAACCCTATACAAGGTCGCCAAGAGTTGGAACCGACTCCACCACACACAACTTTCATGCTTTCAAAAGCTGAAGAGGAAGGTAGCCATTGTAAATTGTATTTTTAACATACAGATTTCTCATCTTCCCATTAAAATAGTAATGATCAAATGTTCATAGCAGTATCAAGAGCTTTTGGGTTTGTGATTTTTAAAGTGTTTTGCAGACTTGGCATGGGCATTGCCATCCATCAAAGTCTAAAATCCTTATCTTCTCAACCAAGGGTATCTCCACCCAAATCAGGGAATCTCCACCATACTTCTCCACCACAACCTTGATCAGGAAACCTCTACACCCCATCTCCACAAACACTTCACCTTCCTGACCCTGATCAGAAGGCCTGCTTCAGCGCCATCCTCCAATCCGTCACTCCATAATTCCCCCTGCTCCAACACCTCACTCCCACCATCCCCTCAGGGGCCTCCTCTTTTGACACTGCACCCCCTCCTCTACCTGCCACCCCACCAATACCAGACTTGGCACAGACTCTTACTGTTCTCCACAGAACCTTTGCAGATCACATCCAGAGCCCCATATCCTGGAGAAACACTTCCTTTCTCAGAACTGCCCCAGTGTTTGTGAATCTATACTAGGCAGAATCGTTGCAGACAACCGCAGGCCCATATGTCAGCTGTGTCCATGTAGGTTAAGTCCAAGTCGGCAGGAGGTCCCTGTGGAGGGGGCTCAGGAGGGCACATTCCAGAAGGAAGCCCATCCCCACAGGCACAGGAGAGCCAGTCCTACCTGCTGCTGAGTGTGGAGAGCAGGGCCCGGCACCCAGCCACACTGAACCCGGTACAACGGCCAGAAACTGTGGCTTCCTTTAACCTTTGCTCCTTTATAAGAGATGATGATCCTGGGTGCTGGGAGGGTCGAGGCTCTAATTTGAAGCTAGCTTTGTTATTGTTGTAGTAAGCGCCGTCCAGTCGGTTCCGACTCATAGCGACCCAGTATAGGGTTTCTGAGGAGCGACTGGTGAGTTTGAGCAGCCCGCTCTGCAGTGGAGGGCTTACTCTACAGCGCCCACCCGGGCTCCTTAGACATGAGTTTCCTGTTCAAATGGGAGCTGTCGCTTTGCAGCACTAGCAGTACACCCCATAGCGCACCCGTGTATAAGGTCCCTGCCTGGGGGCCCAGGGCAGGGAAAGTGGACAGTCTCCCTGACGATTCACCTCATGTGAGGTGGGGACTCTGACCAGTGTGAGTGGCAGAGGGCAGCGCGGAAACATCGGCAGAGCCTATGGCGTGGGAGCAGGGGCCTCGCCAGACACACCTGCGACCACGAGGCTGTGGCACGAAGCAGCTCATACACCAGGTGGGACCAGCTAGCTAAGGGAATCGGGGTACCTCTAGGAACAGGATGTGCGTGGGCTAAGTGCGGGAAGGCTGCGCACCCTTGAAGCAAGGATCTGCTCTGCCATCTGCCAGGCCCAGCTGAAGAAGGCCTCCAGGATCTTGGGGACAACTCACCAGGAGGCTTTGAGTGGCCATCTTCGGAGACCCACGCACGCATTCTCCACGGGCGCCTTCGATGGAGCCACACTGCCCCTGGACGGCCACCCCATCTGGGTCCCACCACGTACCTGGTCCGTCCCGGAACCGCGACCTCCTGCAGTGGTAGGTGAGTTCCTGTTGGCAGTGCTCCGCACGCCCCGTGGTGGCCAGCAGCTGCTCCGCGCCCGCCGAGTACTGGAAAGTGGCCGAATGCGGGAGAGTGGGGCTGGCCCCCTTGACCCGAGTGAGGGCTGAACTGTTGTGATGCAGGACTGTCCACGGGGTGTCTGGGACGGAGAGCAGAGGAAGGGGACAGCGTCACTACCATAGAGTCTGCGTCCTCAGTCCCAGCTACTCCCCGTGGGTCTGTTAGGTTAGGTGAAGAGTGGTCTCTGGTAATTACTGTTGCCTTATATCTGAGGTGATCCTTTGACAACTATCTGAAAATTATGACAAGTTCAGGGTTTGGTCCAGACATAACATTATAGAAAAGAAGAGCTGGTTATTAAATGCCCATGTTGTTGTGAAGCGCTCTCAAATCGATTCTGACTCATAGTGAGCTTGTATAGGGACTCTGAGGAGAGGCTGGCGGCTTTGAACTACCGACCTTGTACTTGAAAACTACCTTGCAGTCGAGTGCTTATCCTACAGCACCGCCAGAACTCCATAATCACCTAGAATTATGCCCCGTGCACTCTTCCGTAGAATCCAGCTCCCAAGCTCTCCAGGAAATGCCATGACATCACATAACAACAACAATATCACCACTTGAACTCAGAGACAATCTCAAGGACAGATTTGTTACATTGAAGATTAAGACCAGCCAATTGTGGCATGGCAACAACAACAACATAATGAATAAAGCAAAAAGACACTGAAAAGGCAGGAAACTGACAAAAGACCAAAATGGATGTCAGAAAAGACTCTGAAATTTTCTCTTGAATATAGAGCAGCTTAGTAACAGGACCACACTCATCTGTCAATTTGTCATACTGTGATGGCTTGTGAGTTGCTGTGATTCTGGAAACTCTGCCACTAATATTTTAAATATCAGCATGGTCAACCATGGCGAACATCAGCTTCCAGAGGAAGGTTTAAGATGAGCTTCCAGGGAAGACAGACTAGGAAGATGAAAAGATGGACTACTTCTGAATATTTAGTCACTGAAAACCTTATGCATAGCAGTAGAACATTGTCAGATAGCACTGAAATATTGACTATCTGACTACCAGAATATTGTCAGATATAGTGACAGAATATTAACCCCTCAGGTTGGAAGGCACTCAATATATGATTAGGGAAGAGGTACTTTCTCAACATAGAGTTGACAGTGATGATGAGAATGGAGTAAAGCCTTTGAGACCATCATTTGCTGATGGGGCACAACTCAAAATGATGAGAAACAGCTGTAAATATCCATTAACAATTGGTGAATGGAATGTACGAAGTATGAATCTAGGAAGGGAAATTAGAAATTTTCAAAAATGAAATGGAACGTATAAATATCCTAGGCATTAGTGAGCTGAACTAAATTGGTATTGGCTATTTTGAATCTAACAATCACATGGCTGGAATGACAAATTGAAGAGGAATGGTGCTACATTCATTTTCAGAAAGAACATATGAAAATCTGTCTTGAAGTGCAGAGCTGTCTGTGATAGGATAATATCCATAAGCTTACAAGTTGTGGCATTGTAGAATAATGCACTTGACCACAAGGTCAGTTTGAACTGCAAGGGTGGTGGTTCAAACTCACCAGCAGCTCTTTGGAAACCCTATACAGGGTTTTTATGGGTCAGAACCAACTTGATGGACCTTAACAACAACAAGGAAAACCAGTTAATACCACTATTATTCAAATTTACACACCAACCACTAAAGCCAGTGATGATGAAATTGAAGAACTCTATCAACTTCATCAGTCTGAAATTAATCAAATATGCAATGAAGATATATTGGTAATTACTGGTCATTGGAATCAAAGGTTGAAAACAAAGAGGAAAGTTGGAAAATATGGCCTTGGGGATAAAAATTATGCTGGAGACAGCAAGATAGAGTTTCGCAAGATCAATGACTTCTTCATTGCAAATACTGAGGAAAAATAATGGAAGCCTCAACTTGCAATATGGAAGGATTCTAGAGGCAAAATATTGAATGATGCAGGAAGCATCAAAAGAAGATAGAAGGAACACATGGCATCACTGTACCAAAAAGAAATGGTCGATGTTGAAGCATTCAAGAGGCATCATATGATCAAGAGCCAATGAGAGGGCGATAAAGGCACAAAGTGACTGGCTTACAAGTTTTCAAGAGGGAGTTTATTTTAAGAGTGTGCCAAGGAAAGTAGAGTACCCACTGAATAGTTTTCATCTTGTCTAGATGGATCCAGTGACAAGAGATGAGGATAAGATCCTTATGATTCAACAGTGAGAAATTGTTATCATAACCAATTGTGACTGTCACAACTGTAAATATAGAAGTTTTGTAACAAAAATGGGGGAGTAGTTAATCTTAAAGTACAAAAACAGTAGACCCCAGGACCATCAAGAGATAAGAGTACAAGCAGAGTGTGGGACCCTATCCAGAGAAGCAGCAACACCAGAGATGGAGGCAGAGATGAGGCCATGGAGAGAATGAGCAGCTGAGGACTCTGAACTCATAAAAGAGAGAGACTGAATGCTGGTGGCCAGGAGGCAGGCTTGCAGAATGTACCCTTTGGTTGATTAAATTATTATATGTTGTTGTTTTTGTCAGGTGCCATCGAGTCGGAACCAACTCATAGCGACCCCATGCACAGCAGAAAGAAACAATGTCCGATCCTGGGTCAACCTCACTACTGCTGCCACACTTGAGTCCATCAATGATGCCACCTGGCCAATCCATCTCGTTAGGGGTCTTCCTCTTTTTCTCTGACCCTCCACCTTA